CGGCACACCGCCACTGTCGTCCACTACTACTTTGTTAGTGACAGTGTTGGACGTGAACGACAACGAGCCGATCTTCGACCAGTCATTCTACAATGTCACCGTGTCGGAGAGTGAGGCAGTCGGCAGCTGCATTTTAAAGGTAACCTATTCTTTTAAATTCAGTTATAATCGAATTCTTCTTAATCTAAGCATCACATTTTAATGTTCTATTGTGAATAAAACAAATAACTCTTGTCAACGTTTCTACGCTTGTGAACTTGTAAGGTGTTAGCGCATTTGCAATTGTAATCGGGACGTAGAATTGCCTTTGGCCCTTACCTGGCGGAAGATGTGACTCGTTGATACGTCGCCATCTTATTGTAACATTCTGTTCAACAAACTTATTACAAACGTATCCAATTTAATTAAATAACATATTAAAATACTTCATGTTAAGTTGATGAATGCAGTCGACGTTTATATGACGTCTGTTAACATATGACGGGTGATAAAAAAATCGATTTAAAATGTCAGTGTAAATAAAAGTTGAAAGCAAAGAGAAAGTATTATGCGTGCGTGTTAATTTGCGTTATTTTAAGCGTCGCAAGAGATATCGTCTGAACGTCGAAATGAGTCGCATGAGGTGACAGCAAAGGATCGATTATATGTGATTGTTAAAACATTTCGAATTTTATAATTGAATGCGACTGATAAAACAGATTCCGTAATTGAATGACACATCAAAAAATAATACTAATATCTTTACAGAATAAGTAGAAAACACATGAAGATTTAAAATTTCTTAAAATAACATCAAAGTTTATAGTTCATACTATGTATGTTTTTATTTAGTTAACAATATCAACATTGTCTAATAATAACACAAAGTAGAGTGGGCGTTTAAACAAGAATAATCAGAGTATGATATTACACCGACGGAGATATGAGAGCCTATTAAATTCGAATCAATGTAATGGATTTTATCCGCGCGGTATTCGTTATAATTAGCAACCAGAAAAGTAATTTAAACGAACCCGTTACAATAAACGATATCGCCGTACCGACGTTCAATTACTATAAAACAAGCACACAACGCGAAAGAACGCAAATTAGTCACGTGGGACAGACCAATTCTTTTTATCTCAATCTCGCCTTCGCCCCGCCTGCGCCTGACGAATTTGTCGA